GTTTTGCAACTTTGGGAAGTTCCCCCCTCCTTCTCCTCCCTCGGGTTTTCCCCAGCCCCTTTCCCCGCCTGTCCCCCCTCTCCGCCCCACCCCCCGCGCTTCCCGATCTTCTCCCCTGGCAGACCCCGAGCCCCCTTTCCCCCGCCCCTAACCAGGCCCAGCTCTTCACTCGGGTCTCTGTCCGTGTGTTTGTGCGCGTGTCCGTCCCCCTCCCCGTCTGGCCGTGATTCTCCCTTTGTTTTCCCTCAGCCTCTGGCCTCGCTTTCTGCCTCCCCCCGCGTGTGCCTCTGGCTCAGGGCCTCAGTTTCCCCATCGGGACAACGAAGAAGGTAACGGGCCGCCCGGGAGGGGTAAGGGCGCCAAGCCACCTCCACCCGGAGACTGAGCTTCTGCACGCCTCCGTCTCCAGGGTCCTCTGAAGGCCCCCCCACTCCGCATCTCGGCCGCGCTCCGCCCCTCGGAATTCCCGGCTCCGCAGGGGGGCGGGTCTGGCAGAGGGGAGGGGCGGGAGAAAGGGGCTAGAAAGTTTGCAGCAACTTTTCTTAAGCCTAAGTCCCTGGAGCGGATGCGCGTGGCCTGCGCAGGCGCAGTGGAAGGAGGATGGCCTCGCGCGCTGCAGGCCCAGCCCCCTTCTCCGGGACGCGGGGGTGGCACAGCTGGGCCACAGCTGGGCGGGGGCGGTGTCTCCGGGTGTTCAGCTCGTTCCTTCCTATTGGCTGGGTGTCAAAGCCACGCCCCTCCATTTTTTTTCTCCCTAGTCCTGATTCGTCCGTTTTACGTCTCGCTAGCTCCCTGCCAGGCCATTGGCCGCCTCCACTCGCCTTCTGATTGGCTCGCTGAGCAGCCCCCTGCCCACAACTCAAACAGCGGAGTACAGAGCTTTGGGCTGACGAGAGGGCCTTTTATTCGCGAGGGTCGGGGGTGGGGTCCTAGGTGGGGAGAGACAATAAATACCGAGGAATGTTGGGATCTCAGTGCATCCAAAACGTGGATTAGGGTGCTGGGGTCCTGCAGCCTGTCAGCGGGTCGGAAGACAAGGTCAATAAATAGCCGAACCGTCGAGGCGGGCGGAGCCGGCTGTGGCTCCGACAACAGCGCACGTGAAGAGGGGAGCGCGGGAGTCCCCGAAAAAGCGGGGCCGGCAAAAGCAAAAGGTTCCCGAGAGACCGGACGGAGGTCGCACCGGATGTTCGCCGCGGTAACAGAACGTTCCCCGGAGAGGAAGGGCCTCATGCACAAAGAGGGTTTGTGGTTGGAGAGCCGATGGTGTGTTGGGGGTGCGTGGAGAATGAAAAATGGATGGCCAAACCCGGGCCTGCTGCTTTCTCATGACTGCAGTTTGCCCATCCACGTCGGGGCCTCAGCCCAGCCGGAGGAAAGAAGTGACCCGCGATTTCCCCTAGCAGCAGCAGCAGCAGCATTCCCGGCTACAAGCCCCCCCGCGAGCCCCATTCGCCGGCTGCGGACCGGGCTCTTCCCTCCCCGGCCGCCAGGGGGCACACCCGGATCACAGGACTGGAGCTGGGGCGGAGACGCACGCTGGGAGTGATGTGAACGGCAAGGCGGTGGGAGAGGTTTCTGGGTTGTACCCGGGCCACCCAACCCTCCAGCGGGGCCCGAGTGGAGGATAGTCTGGAGTTCTAGGGTTCAGGGGTCGAAGGCGGCTCTGGGACGGCTTCAGACTGAGGCGAGATGGCCGGTGCGGGCCACCAACCCAGTGCAGCCCAGGGAGGTGGCACGAGCCAGAGCAGCGGCGAACAGGAGCAGGGAACGCGCCTCCGATAGGTCAGTCCTAGTGATCTGCGGGCGAGAGGGCGGGATCAGCACCGGCCCCTGGGACTCGCCCCGCCTACGCCCATAGGTGTGGTCCGTAATCCATCCTGCACCCCGCTCCCGCCCCCTGACATCTGGCTGTGGTGGTTGGTCTGGTCGTCTCAAATCCCGTCCCAACTCGTTATTAGCTGCTTCCTAGCGCCTTGTGTTGATTGGCTGCCCAAGCATCCTCCCTCCCTGCGGTGGGCCGAGCCCTGCAGAGGCGCAGCTAAGCGGTGTTGGCACCCGGGGGGCGGGGGGAGGGGAGCGCGGCGGGCGGGGTTGTGCAGCCGGACGTACCCTGGCAGGGAGCAGCAGGTGGCGGCGGTGCATGGAGCCTGGCCCCACCAGCGGGCACTGGCCCAGAGCCACGGCCGGGGGGCCATCTAGCTGGAGAGAGAAGGGACAGGTGACCCGATCGGAGCCCAGCCGGGCCCCGCCGCCCTCAGCAGGGGAAGAGAAACAGCGAGGGTAGTCGAGGCCCAGGGATAAGGGGGGAAATCTAGGGAGATCCCTGAGGGGATTGGTGAGAGGCCCGAAGCGAGGAAGATGTAACGGATGTGGGGCTGAATGAAAGGGCGTCTGCCCTCTGGAGCCCCAAAGAGGTAGGATAAGCCCTAAATCTGGACGGGAAGACGGCGAGGGGGTCTGCAGAGAAGGCAGCAAGCCTGAGGCAGGGGAAAGAGAGGGGTCTTACATAGGAAGGTGGATCCGTGGCCCGGGGACTGGGGACCCCCGTGACAGCTGGAAGGAGAAGAGAGAGGCGTAGGGCGCGTGGAGGGCCGTAGGAGGGCGGTGGCGCGGCGTGCCCCAGCCTGGGCCCCTCCCCTTCCCAAGGTGTCCACAAACGCCCCGCCGAGCCGCGGGCCCCCCTCCTCCCGGCCCCTTAGCGGAAGGGGCGGTTGAGGGACTCGCCTGCGGCTCCCTCGGCCTGCAGCAACTCCATCCGCTCCTGCAACTGCCGGACGTGCGCCTCCAGGTCTCGGTTCCGGGCCTCGGCCTCGCGCAGTTGACTGCGGGGAGGTAAGGACGGTGAGCCCGTCGGGTCCAGGCAAGAGGGGCTGCAAAGGGTTGTTAAGGCCCCGGAGCCCCGACCGACCTGGCGAAGTTCTGGTTGGCCGTGCGGATGGCCTCCATCTCCCGGCCCAGGCTCTGCCGGGAAAGCACTTCCTCCTCCAGGGCTTCCTGGAGCTCCCGAAGCGTCACCTCGGGCTCGGCCACAGGGATAGTCGCGGGAACTGTCACTTCAGCCTGTGTATGGGGACCCGGCTCAGGGCTACCTGTGGCTGCTAGAGCACTCGGGACTTGGGCATAGGTTCCAAGCCTGCGATCCTCGATTGTCCTCCACTTCCCCACCTCCTTGATATTTCTGGAATCCCCATAGCTTCAGCAATGATCCCAGGCCCTTCCTTCCCTACCTCCAGCCCCCTCCCTGGTCTGCAGCCTTCAGTCTGGTCCCCTCCCATCCACACGGGAACCAAAGGGTCAGCTTGACTATGTCCGTCTGCTGCTCAAAATGTCTCCAGCTCCCCAGTGCCCTCAAGACAAGGCCTGCTCTACTAAAAGGCCTTGCTTGGTTTATTTCCTGCTGACCTCTCCAGAGGCTCCCCTCCCCTCCTATCACTTTCAAGAACAAACCAGCTGTTCCCACCTCAGGGTCTTTGCCCATGAGGTTCTCTTTACTTACCAATAGGCACTTTTCTTCCCATGGTTGCCTCCTCCCCTTCACCAGTGCTCGGCTCAAGGATAAACTCAGAGAGCCTCTCTCACATACGCACAATTAATGCCCAGTTGTGGTTTCTTCCTAGGGACCACCTCTTGACAGCAGGAACCTTGTCTCTACCTGCTGTCTTCTCTGTCCTGTAAACTCCCAGAGGGCTCAGCACTCCATAGCACACACTACCCTGGAAGCCCTGGCCTTTTGTTTCCTATCACCCCTGATGGATCCTCTCCTCCCTCCACTCACTGTTTCCTTTGGTGGGGACACCGTGGGCTCCAGGCTGGGCACTTGGATATGTGGCTCAGGCAACTGCTCGGCCTCCATTTCCATGGGTATGGGGACTGGGACCTCGTCCCTGGGAAGAGGAAGAGGGAGAGGGAAGGGAGAGCCATTCCTACCCAAGAGGCTGTCGATCCCCTGGGTTTAGAACCAGGACTTCCTAGCCTATTGGCATAGGACAGCCAGCCACTAAAACCCCATGGTTCAAGGACGGGGAGGAGGGCAGAGTGAAGGGAACCAATTGCCAGACTGGTTGACAGACCCTTCTCCAGTTGGGAAAAGCCTCTGGTCCCTGGGAGCTGTCTTTTCTAAAACTTCTACAGGGATTGGGGTCTAGACACCCATGTTATAGGGCCTGCTCATCTCCTCCCCTGACACATGACCTTTGCAAAGTCCTCTCCTTAGGGCCTGGGGACAGGAAGGGGGGGCGAGATGAAGGAGACCTTGCTCAGCTCTGGCCACCTCCAAAGATGTAGTCTTAAGCCTGGGTGTGGGATCCCAAGACTGTGACCCCAGATAGCAGTACACCCTCCTTCTACTCAGCTGCTGGGACGGGGACAGACCCTCCCTAGGAATATGAAATTGCAATATAAGTGGATGCCCTTCCAACCCAGGAATCCCCCCTTATAAGAATATGTCTCAAGAACCTGTTTTTGTCCTGGACATGTACTGGGGCCCACCACCTGCTGGCCTTTCATCCAGCCTGGACTACATAAAACAGAGGATGGGTTAAATCTTTACCCACCCTTTAATAGGATACCACAGATCAAGTGGTTCAGAATCATGTTATAGTTCATTCATGATAAAGAATGGTAATTGCAATACATTGTCCAATTAGAAAATGACCTGTTCTCACAGTTGTAAAATATGTGTCCTCCGCACACATGTGAGCCAGGAACCATTGCTGGATGGTGGGCTCATGTATCAGCTTCCTTTTCCTTATCCGACTTTTCTAATTTACTTGTGATAAGCAATGTATTATTTGCATATAATTAATGTTTTTAAAAACCTTTATTGTTATGTGAGTGATTAAGAAACTCAACAGTTGCAAGATTCTGGAAAGCTGAACCTGTGGCTCTGAGGTTTTACAACTGAATCTAAAATTTTAAAGTACTTATAGTCTGAGATTTTGATGTCCTGCCACTCGGGGCTCCTCAGAGTCATTGGTCACAAGAAAATAAGGTTCCAAGACTGATCCTGCAAATCTGCTGGCCACTGAAGAGCCAGGATACAGTAACCCCAAGCAGCCTCCAGGACTCTGGAGGCTGGCACCCCACCCCACTCCTCACAGGCTGCCCAGGGGCAGTGCTCACCTGAGGGCCATGCAGGAGTAGGAGTAGCCCACAAAGGGCAGTTGGACCCCCAGTGGCATGTCTTCCTGCATGTCGGACAGTGTCTCCTACACAAGATAAACACGGATGTGACCAGCAGTTGTCAGAGGTGGTCCCTTACCCCTTTCTGATTTTGACTTAAATGTCTCCCTCAAACCAACCCCAATTCGGGCTTTAATCTAAAGTGGCCCCTCCATCATTTTTTTTCTTGAATCCGTCTACTTTCCTTCAGGATATTTGCTGCACTATAATTATATAATTCTCTAGACTGTAAGTGGATGACAGCAGGGACCAGGGCTAAATCGATCAGTGCTGTGTACCCAGAACTGCCCAGCACAAGGGCACTCAGAGCTAAGCAAACATTCCAGAACAGCTTGTTAAACAGGTGAGAGAGATGGCCTAAAGAAGGAAGGTTGCTCTGTCGGGGGGAGGGGGGGAGGAAGGAAAGAGGAGCAAAAGAAGGAGCCACTAAGGCCAGAGGCAGAACAAGAGATGGAATCTTAGAAGGCCAGGGTAACCAAGGGGATCCAGGAGCTAGAGGTGCTTCCTGAGATGGGGGGAACACAGCCACAGTGCCTCCCCCCTCCCTGTTCCACCCCAGCTCCGGCCCTGGTCTTTTTATCCCTCTTCCCCCTGACAGAAGCTGTGACCCTGGCCATGTCATCTTGTGCCTGTGTCTCCTAAATGTTCCCCACCCTTTACCCCCTCCTTTTGTGCAGGTCCCATTACAATAAATTTTAAATAAAAAACGTTTAAAAAAAAAAAAAAAAGATTGCTTTTGGATCCCCATACCAGCCGTCCACACACACAAGATTCCTTTCCTGCCTCTCTTCCTCTTATCCTTCCAAGTCTCAACTCAGATAGCCCCCACCTCCAGGAAGCCCTCCAGGGTCTTTCATGCTGGGTCAGGAGCTCTGCTCCCTGCACTCCCCTGCACTACCCCATTTCAGCCCTGATCAGTCTGAGGCCTCACTGTCTGGGAACTGGTCTGTGTCCCGCAGACTGTAAGTCTAGGTCACCACTGGGGCCCCATCAATGGGTGTGCACAGAGCAGGTTCTCTAGGGAATGAACAATTCAGAATCCCCAGAGGTAGGCACTGTCATTACCCCAACTTTATGGAGTGGGGATGGGAGTTTCCCTCCTCCAAGCAGTGTCCGTAGGTACCTACCCCGCCCCCGCTCACCATGGCAGTGAGCCCATCCTCCACCACGTCGAAATTGCACGTGTCAGTGGCACCCTCGAAATCTGGTATAAAGGGGGGCATGCTGTCACGGAGACCGTCCCAGTCGAGGCCAAAGAAGAAAGGATGCTTCTGGAAATCGCCTGCTCCACCCCGACCTAGCCGTGTCTCCGGGGGACACAGCAGCCGCTGGATGAGGTCTTGGGCCTCCTCAGGGACCCCTGCGTCCGCCAGCGGCAGAGACAGGTGCTCCTGCTCCGTGGGAGAGGGAAAGGGGAAGATGTTAGCCTGGGAGCATGTGGGAGGTGAGATCAGGGGTTCCTTGGGGCCGCGCTCACCTTGTAGTGGACGATCTTGCCGTAGGTCTCGGCCGTGGAGTCAGCGTAGAAGGGCGTCTGCCCATAGAACATTTCATAGGCGAACACGCCCAGTGCCCACCAGTCACACTCGGGCCCGTAGCTGCCTGTCCCAGGCCCGCCACCTACGGCCTGCAGGATCTCGGGGGACAGGTAGTCCGGGGTACCCACAGCCACCAGCGACCGCACCTGCACCAACAAGACGAGAGCTGAGCTCCGGCTCCGCCCCGCCCACAAGCTTTACCCGCTGCTTCTAACCACTCCTGGAACGCGTAGTCTCTCCCTCTGCCTGGTCTAACCCCTGCGCGCACGTATCGCCTCTTTTTTCTCACTCCAAATTTAGTCTCCCCCAACCCCAGCTCCGCCTACATGCCCCAGCCCCACCCCATGCTCTGCACCTCCCTGTCCCCTCACTGGTGGCCCGAGTTGCCCCGCAGCGGGCACACCCACTCACCGTTCCATCCTCCCGCAGCTTGAGGCAGGAACCGAAGTCCGCCAGGCGGATGTGGCCGCAGCGGTCCAGCAGGATGTTGTCCGGTTTGATGTCTCTGCAATGAGCAAAGGATAGAGAGCGATAAGTGAACCTTCCTACCACCACTGTCCAGCCAGGCTCTGGCTCTCTGGGAGTACCGCCTCGGGCCTCACCTCGGGTTCCGCCCCTGCAGGGATTCTACAACTCTGAACCCCACTCCTTAGTCTCCGTCCCCAACCAACGAAGTCCCTCTCTATGCCCTGCCCCGTCTGGGTTCCAAACTTCACGGTACCCTAACAGAGTACAAGCTTTGCTATCCCTCTCTGGGCCCCGCCCCTCAGCCCCTGCCACGCCCACCTGTGCACATAGCCCAGCTGATGCACCGAGTCTATGGCCATGACGATCTCAGCCAGGTAGAAGCGCGCCATCTCGGCTGGGATCCGTTCCCCGAACTTGCTCAGCAGCGTTAGCAGGTCCCCGCCCACGTAGTACTCCATGACCAGGTACTGGGAGGGGGCGTGTCATGGGGATCGGTAGTCCCCCTGGGCGCTAATCGCCCAGGACTAAGACTGTCAGAGACATCGCGTTCCTGAGCAGAGACCGCTCGCACAGCCCCAGCCCCGAGAGAGCCCCAGAGATCTCCCAGGCCATATCAGCAAACTGCCCCCCCCCACACACACACACACAAAGAAAACACAAAACAAAAAAACTCTCCCAGGATGTCACTGGACATTCACTTCCCATGCGACATTCAGGGAAAAAGAACCCAGAGACCTCCTAACGCCCAGGGTATAGATGACAAATCATCCCTGCCCAGTCAGTGGTCTCCACATAGAGATCCTGGAGAACAATCCCATTCCTGGTAAGAGATTTCCCAGCAGAGGCACGTTCATACAAGAGTCCCCAGAATCGGCCCAGGAAAAGAGCAGTGAGTGACATCATTTCCCATCCCAGGTAATGAAGGCCCCTCATCTACCTGGGACAAGTTCCTACCACACACAGAGACTCCCCAGTCCTAGAACTTCCTCTCCCTACCCCTGCCTCTTTAATCGAGAGCGTGGGGGTCTGTCCCGCTTCCTAGTCACCCGGGTCTGGAGCTCACCAGGTAGTTCTCATCCTGGAAGGCGAAGTGCAGCTCCGTGATCCAGCGCCTGTCCCCATTCACCAACACATCCCTCTCTTCACGGAAGCACGACACCTGCGGGCACCCAGAAAAACTGAAGCAGGTGAGGGGCGCGGATCCTCAACGCCCCCACTCCCAGCCCGGGGGCTCACTTCGCCTCTCTTCAGCATGTCCCACTTATTCATGATCTTCATGGCGTATACCTGGCCCGTCTGCTTCATCTTTACCACCGCTACCTGAAAGCCGAAACAGAGTGACCGGCGGAGGTGGCCGGGAAAAGAGAAGGGCTCGCCCAGAACGCACTCCACCCCTATGTCCACCCAGCCTGAGACCCCGCCCCACCACGCCACGCCCATTGGTCCCAAGCCCCGCCCCCACGCCCTTACCCAGTGTCTAGTTCTAACGCTCAGTCATTCATCAATTTCTAAGGCCCCGCCCCGAACGTCTGTGCCCCGCCCACCACAAGTAAAGTTCCGACTCCAGCGGCTGCTTAGGGCTCACCTCGCTGAACGCCCCGCGTCCGATCACCTTCAGAATCTCAAAGTCATCCCTCTGCAGTCGAACCTCCTTAAGCCTCGCGGCGATGGGCTCCGCTGGGGGTGGGGTGTGGGGCAGGAAGAAACGAGTTACTGGGACAGATACCGGAGAAGAAGGGAAATTTCACCCTCTGTCTCTCAGCTTCACCTTAGGACTGTCTATCTCCCAAGGGTTTGCCAACATAAACACTGTGTGAGATTTTGGGGATCCCAAACTGCCCTCCCATAGAGGTGAAATGCCTGAGAACCCCTTTTTTGGGGCAGGGCATTTGGGCCAGAGGGCTCCAGTGGGATGCAGGATCTAGAGGGTGGGGTAACAAACGTCTGCAGAAGGGGAGGCTCTGAAGAACAGAGGGAGAAGAAAATAAGAGTCAGTACTTAGGTCTCCCTCCACCCTCACTCCAGGTGAGGGTTAAGGTCCCCAGGACCCACCCCGAGGTTCTCATTCAGTGTGTCGTGGGTTATGGTTCAGAATGTGCAGTTTGTATCCAGTCCTTGTAGATTCAGATGCAGGTGGTTCTTGGACCACACTTAGGTAAACACTGGACTTGGGGTTGGAAGAAGGACTGGGAGAGAGAGACAAAGGCTGCGTGACACATCCTGGCTCAAGCGCTCCAGCACTGTTCATAATGCATTACCCCAGTCTTCCGCACAGCCCCAGGAGGAGGGCTTTCACACTACCCTTTATTTACAGATGGTAATCAAGTCTCCAAGAGTTAAGATCCTACAGCTAGGAACGCTAAACATGGCAGTGTGGGAGGGGGATAGGCCAGGGGTGGAAGCCAGAGACTCAGGGACAGTGGGGGGAGGGAGGCCTGGACTCCCAGGGGTGGAAGAAGGGGGGACTTCGGAAGACAGGATGGAGGGATGGGTCTGAGCAGGAAAGAATGGAGCTAGCATGGGTAATGGAGAGGATAGTGGGCCCCCCATGAGGTTCTGGGGGGTTCAGAGAGAGTGGGCCAGAAGAGAAGAACCAGCCAGGGCCAGAGACGGGGGAGGGAGGAGAGAGCCAAGACATTGAGCCCTTTTAAGGCAGCGGGAACCCAGGCCCCTTCCCCCGCCCGGGAGGCCTGGCAGGGGAGGGACTGCAGGATGCAGCTCAGGCCACAAAAGGAGAGCTCCTCACAGGAGAGACAGACCCTGACCTCCACCCCAGGTCTCAGTTTACCCTGCCAGCCCAACTTCATCCTCTGCAAAAGAGAGTCTGAGAGAGTCGCTGAGGGGGATGGGGGGGAAATGGAGGGAAGCTTCTTCCAGAGGCTGAGTGGCCTGGCCCTTGGCTTCCAGCTTCCCATCTGTGAAATGGGAGGAGGAGGGAAAGGCACGGAGCTGGGCGAGAAAGAGGTGGACACAAGACAAGAGGGAGCAGAAGGTGAAGAGACAGGAAACAGAGATACAGACAGTGAGTGAGAGAGAGTGACACACACAGGCCAAGGACCAAGAGCAAGCCTTTGAGGGACAGGCACATGGAGGGAAGGAATGGCAGACACTAGAGTCCTGGGCCAGGAGTGGGGTGGAGGCATGCAAGGCAGGAGGCTGAAGTTGGAAACATCTTTGCTCTGGACCTGACTTTGTGGGACAGCTGGAAGGTTGGAGGTCCTGAGCTAGGAGAACTGAAGGACATGGGGATCAGAGAGGAATCACAGGCCAACCCCTGCAGTTTAGCAGGACCAAGATGTTGGGTGTAGGGGTAAGGGCACAGAACCTACAGAGAAAGTGGGCATACCCAGGAGGACCCAAATTGTTCTTCCTCAATCTGGGGGACTGAGGGGCTGCTGGGTGGCGCCTGTCTGCAGAGCTGGTTCTTGCCCAGGGCCTGTGTGAGTCACCACACCCTCCTAGTGCCTGGGCACCTGTTGGGGCAGCTGGAGAGGCTGGCGCCGAACACCTGCCTGTCGGCCGCACCCCTGGCAGCTGCCCCATACTGTCCCTCCCGGCTCACCCCTGTGCTCTGGGAAACAAGGGTAAAGGACCATAGGACCCATTTGGGGTGGGGGGAAGGTCCTAGGAGATGGGGATCCGGCACGCCCCTAGGCCTAGACTTGGGGAAGGGATGCAGGAAGACAAACCATTGTTCTGAGTCATGGCCACTCTGGCCTCTGCTGGGTGGCATGGGGGTAGGGGCATGTTGCCCCAAGACCCGGGTCCAGGCTCTGGGCCCCGGTATGGGAGCTCCCCTTTTCCAACTTGCCCCCACCCCCCCAGCCTGGGGGAACCCATGTAGGCTGCCACTTACCCCACTGCAAGAAGTCGGCCACATACTTGTCCTGGGCCAGGTTGGAGGCACCCAGCTCCTGGTGGACGCCCAGGAGAAGGTCGAGCAGGGGCTCCAGCCCCAGGAAGCCGGGGTCCAGCACCAGCTGCTGGAGCCGCCTCAGCCGCACCTCGGCTGACATGTTGGACAGGCAGCACCATGGCCCCCTCCCCGGGCCAGGGGCGCGGGGTCCTCCTGTCACGGGGCCTGGCAGCCCCTGTCCAGGCCCTGGAGCCCTGGTCGCATGTCTGCCTGTCCCTGGCTGTCCCCTGGGCCTCTCTGGCCACTTCTCTCTGCTGCTGAGGCCTCCTCCTTTTCTCCCCACCCCTTGGTCCAGCCCCCCTCCCGCCTCCCAGCCTTAACCCCTCACAAGCCAGCCCCCCCAACTCCCTCATTTCAGAACCCTTCAGAGCTGGACTGGGGGGAGGGACTGGATGGAGGATCCCAGCTCTCACACTGTCCCCCCCAATAGAAAGGTGGAGCAGAGAAGAAAGCTACAGGTGTGAGAGACGCCAAGATGCACCCTCCCATTGCCTAGAGGGGACCAATCGAGGCTCAGAGTGACCCAGTAACTACCACCCCCCAGCCCCCCGCCAAACCCTAGAGCTTGGTAGTGGGGGAGGAAGGGGCTGAGGCCTGGGAAGGGGGGCAGGAGGCCAGGGCAGCTTCTTGGGTGACTCAGCGTGGATTCCGACTTTGGGACAGTTAAATTTAGCCCTCAGGCCCTCTGCTTTACACTGACTTTTTTTTGGCAAGAGGTGGGGAAGGGGTGGTGAGGAGAGGATCGGGAGGGGACGCCCTCAGGAGCTGGCCAAAACCTAGGGGAGGCAAGTGGTGCAGCCAGGCCCTCCCCAGGCAAAGAAGACCCCAAAATAGCTCTTGGCCCCTGGCCAGACAGCCACATTCCTGCCCAGGCTGGGATTAGAAACAGAAACATTTCGGGGGGTGGAGGGTGGAGCGGGAAGACACCACTCCCCAAGAGTCCTAAGATGCAGCCAGGAGGGATTTTAGCTTTTCTCTCCAGAGTGGACAGTTCTCCCGAGAGGAAATCATGACCTCCAGCTGGCACCAGACTGCACCACGGCAGAGTCAAGCCTGAGGCACCAGGAGGCAAAGACGTGTCCCCAAGACAGCTCGGACTCTACTCCCAGGCGTCCCATACCCCGCTACAACGCAATGGCACCTCAGGAGCTGCCTGGCCGAGTCCCATCTGAGCAGGCCCCAGGAACAGTGGATTTGGACAGTTTTGATACTTGAAAGCAATTCTGAAAGCGCCTGATGAGGACTTTGAAGAGGGGCCCTTGCTGTCCTCTCCCCTGGAGACGTTCAGTGGCTGGTGCACCTGCTGTGAGCCCTGCCCACCCTTCCCTCCCTGGGCTTCAGCTGTCCCTGCTAATAGAAGGGGCAGAAGACAGGCCTGCACTCTGCCTTTGGTTAAAGCCGACTGACTCCAGGACAACAGCAAAGCACACAAAAATCCTCTACACCTCTGAGGAAGAGAACAGAGCAGCTGTGAAAATGGGGAACTTTAGTATAAATAAGGTCTTGAGGGACAGGGAGGACCCTGAGGGGTTTCCATAATTTAACACTCTTCAAAAGCACAGACAATAGCAAGGGCAGGTGGGGCGGGGGCCAGGCAGGGGCAGGCCACTCCCTGCCCTGCCTCTCAACTGAGGGGCACACTGCAGAGCTGGGGCTCTGTGGGCGGGGATTTTCTCCCCCAGGAGTGACAAGTCACATGCTGGGGACAGGGATGAGGGTAACACTGATGTTTCAGAGGAAGGGGTCATTGTACATGGCAGTGGGTGGGGACAAAGCTGCCAAGGCCACACTGGCCGCTACATTCCTGGGCCAGACTGGGAGACCCCCGAAATTTGTGCAGAGCGGGGGACTGGAGCAGTCCATCATGGTTAGTCTTGTTAATACGTGGATCCGTGAGGTCAGTGGGGAGGGTTATGGCTAGCAGGTGGGGGCATGGGGTGGGGGACCCCAACATCCATGGCTTCACACCACTGTGCCGCTCGGGGAGTTGCCTGGTTGGGAGGAGATGCCCTGGGAAAGACGAAAGGGAGAGACAGGAGGGGTTAGAGACCACCTGGGGCTTCTGTCTGTGCCACAGTGGGGGCAGCCATCCCAGAGTTCCCAAGGCTGCTGCCACCCTGGCCTTGCCTCTCAGTCCACCCCAGACCCCCCAGACAGAGACTGCTGCTCTGTGCTTGGGAACTTCCATCTCAGCCAGCTTCCTGTCCTGGCAGTTAGCACTTTTATACAATAATTACAGTCCTTGGGTGATCCTGGGCTGAGACGCTGGGGTAGGTGAGGGTGGGGTGGGGAAAACTGGAGTACCCTTCTGACTTCTGGGGGTAGGGGATCCTGAGATGCTGGAGGGGAAAGAACTCAGGGACAGTCCTACCTCTACCACTGACTTGCTGGGTGACCTGGGCCAACTTCCTTCCCCTGTCTGGGCCTTGGTCTCCTCCTCTGTGAACTAAGGAGATAGAGGGGTCTCTTTTAGGACTCAACCAGACTCCCCAAATCCCAACACCCTTGTTCTGAGGGGCTGAGACTGTATTCTTAAGATTCCACAACCAAGGACCCAAGGACCAAGCTGCAGCCCTCGGACCTTGGATGCTGGGCACCTGAGGCCAAATCTTAAAAAGCTGAGACATCCGAGATCAGCTCCGACCTTACAAGGTGCCAGGCCTGTGCTTCACCGACTGTGACCTTCTGACCCCACAGCTACCACAGGAGGTGGATACATCCACCCCACACCCATCTTAAAGCTCTGTTCTGAGGTGATGAGTCAGGGTCAGAGAGGGGCAGTGACTTGTTGGGATCACATAAACAGCAGGAGTGCAAGACTGGAACCTGGGCCTCTGATTCCCAGCCTGTGCCATCAGCAGTGGGCTCAGATCCTAAGTGTCCGACACCCAGGCTGGAAGCCAAGCCCACAGGCTCAATTTTGCTGCTAGAGTTTTGGCCCAAAGTACTCAAAAAAATTTCCCCATTTGAAAACCAGATTTTCCATAGAAATAGATTCTGCTCCAAATGACAAGCACTAAGTACTGGCCTTGCTGGGCCGGGTTGGCTGTCCATCAGAGAGCTGGCCACGGCCCACCACTCCCAGCTCCCACACTCGACTGTCTCTCTCTGCTAGCCGGGGGCCAAGGGCTCTAGAAGCCCATTGCTGTAAGATCTGAGAGCTCTTGCTCTGAGATTCTAATGTTACCATGGCTTCCTCTCGCCCCATGGGGCCGGAGGTTGCCGCAGTGACAAAGCCCTCTCTCTGCCAAAGGTCCTGCAGGTCCGGACAGGCGCGTGTTGGACGACTCACCGCCTTGCCCGGCCGGGCCCAGGTACAGATGAGGCCCTCCTGGCAGGCGGTGATGATGCAGTCCTCTAGGAAGAGGAGGACCGTGAGCCGCTCCTGGGCGATCTTCTTGCACACCAGGGGTTCCAGCAACGGCACCTCGTGGATGCGTGGGCACAGTGCGGTGCCCAGCACCTTGGCGGGGTCCAGGCGGCTGCGGGGGACAGGGCCGCTGGGCTTGTCCCCGCCGCCCCCACCGCCGCCACGGCTGATGTTGCCCAGGCTGTGGTAGCGCTTGTGCTCTTTCTCCGCCCCCCGGTCCCGCCGCTCCTGCAGCGTGAGCGTGGCAAAGCGGCCGATGCTGAACGGCGCGCCGGCTTCCGCCGCCACACCTGGGCCGCCCGCCTTGCCGCCACCCGCCGGGTGCGGGAGGCTGTTGGAGCGGGACAGCGAGCGGGGCAGGGGACCCGGGCCGGGCTCACCACCCCGGGAACTGCTGGTGGCTGGCGGAGTGGTGCCAGGAGTGCCGGGCAGGGTGCGGGTGCGGGCCAGGGGCGGGTGCGGGTAGAGCACGTCTTCAGTGAGGTCCCACAAACAGAACTGCGTGTCCTGGCCCGCCGAGCCGAAGCGGTAGGTGATGGAGCCGGCCTTGGGCAGTGGGGAGAGCGGGACGCCCGCGGCCGAGCCTGTGGCCGCAGCCTCAGGCTCCTCCTCCTCCTCCCCACTCCGGTCCCCATCACCGCTGGTGGCTGCAGCCTCCTCTGCCCGCGTTGTGTAGGGGTCGAAAGCCACGGCATTGACCCAGGACTTGTGGCCGTGGCCGCGGGCCACTACGCGGCCCTCGGTGAAGGACCACACAGTGACCAGGTCATCTTCGCCACCTGTCACCACGTAGCGGCCATCAGGGCTCCAGCACACACAGAGCAGGCCCCCAAAGTAGCTCTTCATGAGCCCACGCAGGAGCATGGAGTCGAAGTGGAAGACCCGCAGGCAGCCGTCCTGACTGACGCAGGCCAGGTGCCGGCCGTCGGGCGAGAAGGCAAACTCGTTGAGTGGCCCCTCGCCCACCGCCCACTTGGCCAGCGGGTTGCGGGGCGCCTTGCTCTTGGCAGCGTAGACGGAGAAGCCCTCCCCCTGCTTCAGCAGGCTGTACTGGGGCGGGGCCGAGGCGCACGGGTGGCTGACGTTGTACAGGTACAGGTGGCCACTGGCATGCGATGCCAGGAAGAGGCTTTCCGACTCAGGCAGCCACTTCAGATATGTCACCTTAGTCTTGTCGATCAGCCGCTGCCAGGGGAGACAGGGTGGGGGTTGGGAGAAGGCGATAACCCCCTGGCACACCTCCTCCCCAACCTGGTCCCCCCGAGGCCTTCAGATGTGGCCCCACTCACATTGCTGGAGGCCCTCCTTGGAGAGAAGCTCCCAAACTGAGGGAGACAGATGGATACCAGGTCATGGCAACGAAGGGGAATAGGGGCTGCCTAGGAGGGGGCTGCCTAGGAGGCGGCCACAGAGAGCACCATGGAGCTTTGATATCCCATCTTCGGCAAGGGGGGATAATCTTGCCCACCAGAGAACTGTCCTCTAACTGCCTAACCCTTTCTCCCATCTTTACCATGTCAGGCTACAGGCAAGAAATTTACTCACGGGATGTCAGCTCCCCCGAGGAGGGATCGCTGTCCATCGGCTTCCCTGTTCTAGCCCCAGCACATGGAGCACTGCACACAGGAGACACCTTAACAATATTTCCTAGACAAATAAATGACAACCCCATCCTGCCACCTGCTTAGATCAAAAACCTTCTAGGTGTCGTTGCTTCGCTTTTCCTCACAACTCTCATCCAATCCTTCAACAAATCCTGTGTGCTCAAAATTCAAAATATATCCAGAATCTGACCTCTTCTCACCACCCCACCCCAACCAGTCTTGTCCCATCAACCCTGTGATGCCTCCTAACCGGCCTCCAGGCCTCCACTTCCCCAGGGTCTATTCTGTACCACCTCCAGAGAGATGTTGTTAAATATAAGCCAGCACCTGGCCCTGTCCTGCTCTGAACACTTCTCAGCCTTTCTCAAGCAGGATTCCACAGAGAATGAAGCCCTAAAACCCTAGGCAGCCACTGTATGTGATGGATGAACTTCTCTCCCAAGGATCCAAGCTGCCGCCCATTCTTGGGAGAACTGAGAAAATCAGCACTCAAATCATGTCTGTATTCTGTGGCTCCTATAAGCCTCAAAGGAGAAAGGCTGTTCCATAGGATTCCATCTAAGAGTAAAAGGCAAAGTCTCTTCCACGGCCTTCCAGAGTCTACAAGAACCGGCCCTTCCGTTATTTCTCAGAACTCTTCTACCATCCTCTTTCCCTCAATAACTGCTCCAGCCACACGGCCTTTTTGCTGTCTTACTTCAGGGCATTTGTCCCTAGCTGTTTGCTCTATGCAGAATGTCCTTCCCCCCCCTCCTTCAGGTCTTTATCTCAATGGCACCTTCTAGTGAGGCCTTTCCTGATCACCCTATTTAAGCTCACCAAGCAGCCCTCTCACCCCTTCCCTGATGTTTTTTCTCCATGCTGACACATACTGAACTTACTTGATAACTTTGTCTCACCCAACTAGACTGAAAGCTCCACAAGGACAGGGCCTTCTGGCTGTTTTGTTCACTGAGATGTGATATCCCTAGTGCTTGGAACAATGCCTGCCACAGAACAAATGCTCAATAGCTATTTTGTGAATGAATGAGCTAATAAAATTTTAATCCATTCACTGTTCCACTCACTCCCTTCAGCCATGTGCTCATTCTGAGAATATTTTTGGGATACCTCCTCTGAACCAGAGAGAACAAGATACAGGACAAGAGCAGTCCCTGCCGGTGGATAAAGTCATTTGTTGGTATTTCCTCTTGTGCCAAGTTGGCCCAGGACTGAGCAATCTCCGTGTATGATTTTACAACAGTCCTGTGAGATGGGATGAGAATCCCATTAGGCAGAGGAGGAAAACTGAAGGTCAGAGAATAGTCACCTTCCCAAAGTCACACAGTGAGTAAATAATACAGCAGGGATTTGAGTCCAAAGACCACAAAGTCAAGAATTTGAAGAGCAAGGGCATCAAATAAATCCCAGCCAGTCCTAGCCTCAGTTCTCTAATGTGCAAAATGGACATCACAATTCTTTACCTGTTAGTTGATGAAAACTTGTCCTGGGCACAATAAGCACAGCTATCATTATTAGCTGCTGTCTGTCACCCCATTCCCCATCTCTCCCGCATCCTTCCTCTTTCAGGCCTACACTGTTCCCCAGGCAGCTGCAGCTTAATGGCACAGAGTGTGTGGGTGGGTGGGAAAAGGGATCAGTTCCGGGCTCCGGGAGTCTACAATCACCTCCTCATTGAATAGCTTGCTGGTGTCCTTCTTGATGAGATCCAGGTACTGCACCTGGCCAGCTGAGAAGCCCACCAGCAGGGAGATGGTCTCTGTGGCAGCAGTGAACTGGTTGAAATCGTGGCAGGTGGGCTGGGTGCCCTTATATATCCGCTTGTCAATTGGCTTGTTGAGGTCAATGGACTTGAGTGGTGGAAGAAAAGGAGTTAATGGTTTATACCACTAAGAGGAAGGAAGAGGGTGTTGAGGTTGGGGAAAACCACTAAGAGGAAGCAAGGTTAAATCCCTGAGGGAAGTGGGTAGGTGGCTGGGGAGAGAGGGGGCAACCACAGACAGGAAGGGGACCTGAATCGCAGAGTAGGGGAAAAACCGACTGTAAGGATCCCCACCCCACAGACCACAACGCCTCCCCAAAGTTGGACCCCCAACCCACCCTTACTTCAACAACACTCTTGCCCACAGCATCAGGGTTTAGGGTCCTCATAGTCCCTGAGTTTTGATTCCTTGCCAGTCCCCTCCCCCATAATTTCAGAAACTCCCTTGGGACTTAGCACCACAATATTCCAAGACCCCAAAACCTCAGGGCCACCCAAATCCCCCGGGCTCTAAAGCCCAGCATCCCAGGATTCCTTTCACTTCGGAATCCCTAAACCTTACTACCCTATCATAGCACAGGGACCCATCAAACCTCATTGTCTGCCACATTTTAGGTACATTTATTCCTCTGGGCTCTCAGGATCCTCATTACTCCTGGGAACCATAAACTCCAGGGGTCTGACCGCTCTGTGACCCCATCACTTTAGAGATGCCCATGACACCTGAGGATATCCTCTACCAGGGCCTCTGGTCACCTTCAGATCTTCCATCAGCTTAGCGATTCTCATTTCCTCCAGGACCCTCATACCTACAGACTCCAATTTCCTCTAGCATCCCACTCACTTTCTGGATACTATTAATCTCTAAGCCCCCATCACTTCCAGAATTCCCCTCACTACTTGACTCCCCAGTCTCAAGACGCCCTCCCAACACTTCCAGACTGCAAATCTTCTGGTTTCTCCTTCACATCTGAGCCTGCATCACCTCACGATTCCCCATCACCTGCAGAATGCCTGCCACCCCAGAACCCAGGAGATCCCATGTCATCTCAGATGCCCCATCACCTCCAGAATACTCACCATCCCAGAACCTCCACGCCTACGGCGTATGGGGGAGATTCATCCATCACCTCCAGGACACCCAGCACCCCGGGAGGGCCTCCCATCACCTCTCAGAATCCTGCATTACCTCCAAGAACCATATCCTCCTGGATGTCCATCACATCTAGGACGCCTAGCTCAGGGCCCCATGTCAATTCGGGGATCCTCCTAACATTTTCCAGGGGCCAGGACCCTACGCTGCGGGCCGCTCACCCGTTGGCTCCCGCGGCGGCAGCAGCCCGGGTAGAAATAGAGCTCGCGGCCCAAGTTGAAGCAGACGCGGTCTCCCCCGGCGCCCAGCCCCGAGGGCGTGGCGGGTGGCTCCCCGGACCCGGCGCCGTCGGGCTCCCCGAGGCGCACGAGGCTGAGGCGCACGGCGGGCAGCGCGGGCCCGGGCCCGGGGCCTGCGGGCGGCGGGGACGATGCGGGGCCCGCGGCG